CAGTTGTAGAGAAGTTGGACATTACTAGCGAAACTGTCCTAAGGCAGTAACATCTGGAAACATAGGGAGAGTCCTAGATATGGGACAAGAAAGGATAGTTGTCGACCCCACCATTGCAATAGGTATATTTCCCCTCGGTGAATTTTATGCCTGTGATCCTTTTCGATTATAATGTTGAAAGAAATTGCTAACTATTCATTTAAACACCTTTCTAAACTTAGTCCTTTGTTAATAATCGAAAACGTGTACCGTCGAGTTGGTTAGCAAGTGAGAAGAGAATGCTAACGTCATACCCATAGATCGTATCCTCAATCCGGACGATTATTCTGTTCCATTCGATTAAATAGCAAACTTTTCATGAAAGGCTTTGATGCGATCATTGGCATGGAATGACTGAGTCTCATTCATGCTGTTATTCTTGGGTTGTCCGTCTAAATCTTCCCTCCGAACCGAATCTCATGATCTTCGGAATCAAACCTGAATCCAACCTTCACATCATTTCGTGCATCAAGTCATAAAAAGTTTCCCATGCATTCCTCGTATGTGTGGTCATCGGGAAACGAGAAGTCTGCAACTTTTTCCTTAATGTCTTTCTCGAGAATTCCTTTCGAACGTTTAGTCAAGTCTCACATTGACCTAATCCCTAGAACTACCTCGTAGCCAAACCTCCGTGAGGATGATGTGTCCAAGACAGCGACCAAGGCTTGATGTGATCACTACGAGTTAGTAGTGGTGCCCTTCGATCAAACCATTTTCCCTTGTCATGTAGATAAGCAAAGCAGTCATACCCGTGGACCTTTACAAAAACTAAGGCGATATGGAATTAGTCGGCACCGGAGATACCCATAGAAACCCGTCCATTCTTGGGTCCCGTCGACTATTATCGCAAAACCACCCAGAAATTTCTTCTAGAACCATCAGACCCTTAGCTACTCCACTACTTGAAGATGTACCTTCGTGTTGGAGCTTGTGTCCCGTTCAAGGCCTTATCCCAGAAGAGCATGATATGGCTTGGTAAGCGCGAAATACTTCTTCCGTGATACACCAGAGTTTTTGAAATCCCTGCCAGAATCGGAACTGTGAACTACAAACTGCGACTACCTCAAGGGCATAGCAGTATCCATTCTGTCGTCCACGTCTCGAATCCTTAGAAACGCCTACCCAACGATACCTTAGTAAACCCTTCGATGAGACCAAAGTCAACGAAAGTTTGAGCCTCCACGGAAGAACAAGTTGAGATCATGGACGGAGAGATCAAATGTACGAAACAAAACCACATCCGAATAGTGAGGGTTCGCTGAAATGTCAAGCGGAGACCCGATTCCACTTGGAAGCGTGAAGACCCGAAGCAGTAGATTCATCCATATCTCTTTTCATTTCATGATCTGTACCTAAATCTTTGAATTTCGGGACGAAATTCCCTCTAACGGGGGGATAATGTGACAACCTGAAGTTGTCCATCGCTAAAACCCATTTCGTCCGAAAACCCATCTATAGTAGTTCAATCCGATTTCCGTTATTGGGCTAAGTTATTTAAACTTATAAGTTGTTATATTATTATGAGTGCTCAAATCCCTTAGAAACTCATGAAAATGGCCCAAAATCATTAAATTGAAAACCTCCAAATTCTATCCCGCCAAATTACGATAACTTAATCGGGTGCTACCAAAAGCCCCGTTTAACGTCGGTATCGGGTAGAATTCCACCATGTCCTGAACTTAGGACCTATTTAAAGCTCAAAAGAATTCATTTGACACCTTTTGCTCTCTCTCACTACTCTCTCTCTAACCTCTCTCCTCTAACTCAAGATTAAGGTCCAAAATCATCAAATTCAAGCCCCAAATATTCAAGGTAACCACCCTAACTCCTAGTATAGCATCTTAGACCTTCAAATTCGAGTTCAAATCATGGAATAGGACCATAATCATGTGTTTACGGCCCTGGAACACCCTTGGGCCATGAACACATATAAAATGGGTTTTTATGCCTTAAAACACTTCCAAAACACCATTGAGGCTTAGATATGGCTTATAGAATTATGGAATTGGACTTGGAACACCCTGAACATCAATTTAGAGGAGTAAACATGAGTTTACTGCCGAAGAACATGCTTGAGCCGTAAACTCATTAACATGGAGAGTAAACTCCTTCTAAGGTGTTAAATTGCCACTTACACACCTCCTAAGCCTTGAAAAAAAATCTAGAAGCAACCACAAACGAATTAGGAGGCTAAAACATGAGGAAAAAAACCCCGTAAGGAGTTCACGACTATAAGGTGGAGTCTTGGGCCGTAAACTCCAAAAACTATGTGAAATGGTGCCTAAATTTCACCACTAGACTTGTAAAATAGCTTGAAATCACATGTGATTAATTAAGGACCACCAAAACATCAAGGATTTAGTGTGAGGGGAGTTTACGGCTGTAAACTCCAAGTTTACTACCGTAAACTCCAATAAATGGTCCATATGTGAGATAAATTCTTTCCAATGCCCTAGATGTGATCCTAGCTAATTTATCCAATTGATTCAAAGCCATTTTGCACCATAGAACACCCCACCATGAGTTTACGGCTGTAAAATCATGGGGAATGGAACTTTAGGGCCGAAAACTCTAATATGAGTTTACTCTTTAAGAGTAAACTCCATATCGAAGCCTTATGTGTCCTCAAATGCCACCCGGGGCCCTCAAAATGCTTGTAGTGGAGTGTTTTCGTGATTAGAAGTGTTTATCCCTAACTAATAAATAATTCAAGTCCTAATTAGATACAAATGTGTATCTTTTCATAATACATAGGAATCTTGTGCGTTTGCAAACCCAGACCTGACGTTTAAGATCCAAACCGACGCGTTCCTCAACCGGTGAATTCATACCCCTACCCTTTTTGAAATGTTTTTCAAATGTTTTCAGGGGGGAATACAAGCAAAAGTACAACGAAATCTTGTACTTAAACTTATTATTTTCTATTCAAATGTTACATATTTTGTATACTTTTAATACCGAAAATCATACTAACTATTTGTTCGAATTGCAGAGTGAATTGTCAAACTAAAATGTAGATTCTTTAATAGATGTTATAATCTAAGTTTCATATTATGTTTTGCATAAGGAATCATACTAATCATAAAATAAGATTAATACTAATAGGATAGAACGAATACGAATACGAATACGAATACGAATACGAATAGGAATAGATATACAAACACGAATACGAATACGAATACGAATACGAATAGAATAGATATACCAATATGAATACGAATACGAATACGAATACGAATAGGTATACGAATACGAATACTAATCCGAATATGAATAGGAATTTGTATATGAATACGAATACGAATGCACGCCTTTGGATGACGCTAAGACTTCGAATATACAACTAATGTACTCCTTGAGTGTCACCAGAGTTTCGAAATTAATTTGACAGTACGCCTCTGGACATCGACTGAGTTTAGAATACATACGCCTTAGGATGTCGACAGTGCTTCGAAAATACGTCTAAGGTACTCTTTTGGAAATCACCAGAACTTCGAAAATACTGTTAATGTACGCTTCTGAGTGAATCCAAATATTCGAAAATACCACTAAGTATAGCAGATAATCAACAATCGAATGTAGGATAACTAAGATATCATAATACTTAAATAATACTATAAGTAAGTTAGTTACTAGTACATCGAAATCTAAACTACTAATTAAGTATCAAATGGACAACTAAACACTTAGGAAAATATGGGATTTTCCTGGAATAACGTAATAAATCGTAAACGAATTAAGTAACGAAATGATAACTAAACTGTTTTTACATAAGAAAATATGGGATTTTCTTGGATAACAACTTTTTTAGAAAACAAAAAGGGATCTCATTCTTTTCAAAACAAAACCGCTTATGAACTCACCAGCTTTATGCTGATTTTCAAAATGCTTGTATTCTCAGGTCAGCATTAGACAGATACACCGGCACCTTTTGGAGAAGACGGAGCGTTAGATGACTCGTCTTTGTTTTTGTTCATATGATATATGTATATAACACTTGTATAACTTTTCTTTCAAACTGATGTAAACAATTCTATGTAATGTAATGTTTTGTGTTTACTGTGTTAATATGTACATTGGATTTGATACTGAACGTGGAGTCCGCTGGGGAAATGTTTCCGCCTTCGGTTTTCGGGGTGTGACAATATATATATATATATATATATATATATATATATATATATATATATATATATATATATATATATATATAGGTGCAGGTTCATTTGAGACCATTCTAATTTTGTGAGACCGTGAGACCAACTCTAAAAATAATTTTAAAATGCAAAATAAATGGAAAAATCAAAAAAAAAAAATTAAATATTATTTTCGGAACTTGAAATAACTTAAAAAAATTAAAAAAATTTTAAAAATAAAAAAAAAATTAAAAAAATTCCGTTTTTTTTTTGAAAAATAAGTGAAATATTTTAAATAGAGTATTACACTTACATATTCTAAAAAATAATTTTAAAATGCAGAATAAATGGAAAAATCTAAAAATTCTTTTTTAAATATTATTTTCAGAAATTGAATTAACTTAAAAAATTAAAAAAAAAAATTCCATTTTTTTTTGAAAAATACGTGAAATATTCTAATAGAATATTAGACTAACATATTCTAAAAAATAATTTTAAAATGAAAAATAAATGGAAAAATCCAAAAATTCTTTTTTTAAATATTATTTTCAGAACTTGAATTAACTAAAAAAATTAAAAATAAAAAAAATAAAAAAATGCGTCTCATGGTCTCACAAAATTAGGCCGTCTCACATGAACGTAACCGTATATATATATATATATATATATATATATATATATATATATATATATATAATATATATATATATATATATATATATATCTCCATCTACATCCAGAAAGTCGTATGCTTTGGAAGAAGCTTGTACAGTTTGGGAAGGGGTTTTGATTGATAAAAAAGAAGAATCTACTTCAACCGGTATGCCCTTAGGCACGGCCATACATAACATAGAAATCACACTTGGAAAGGGTGCACAATTTGCTAAAGCAGTGGGTGTTGTAGCGAAACTGATTGCGAAAGAAGGAAAATCGGGAACATTTACATTACCTTCTGGGGAGGTCCGTTTGACATCCAAAAATTTCTCAGCAACAGTCGAACAAGTGGGTAATGTTGTGGTGAACCAGAAAAATTTGAGTAGTGTCGGATCTAAGTGTTGGCTAGGTAAGCGCCCTGTAGTAAGAGGAGTAGTTATGAACCCTATAGACCATCCACACAGGGGTGGTGAAGGGAGGGCCCAAATTGGTAGAAAACAACCCACAACCCCTTGGGGTTATCCTATACTTAGAAAAAGAAGTAAAAAAAGAAATAAATGTAGTGATAATTTGATTCTTCGTCGCCGTAGTAAATAGGAGAGAAAATAGAATTTCTTTCTTCGTCTTTACAAAACAAAAAAATAGGAGGAAGCTGTGACACGTTCACTAAAAAAATTCGTTTGTAGCGGATAATTTATTAAAAAAAATAAATTAAATTTGAAATTTGGGCGAATGACGAGAATTGAACCCACGCATGGTGGATTCACAATCCACTGCCTTGATCCACTTGGCTACATCCGCCCCTCTACTTTTATCTAGTATTTATAGATTTTTCCATTAATAGAAAAAAAGAGCATATTATTTCTTTCTTATTTTCTTTATTATTTCTGAAAGCAAAGAAATAAATAATAAAAATTTTCATTTTTATCTATTTTAGATTGAAATTCAATTGTAAATCAAACTTCATAAAACATTGGGAAAGAATATATAAACCTCTAAATTAATACAAAGAGAAAACATGTTAATCGAACCAAACAAATGACTTGTTATTTCTAAAGAAACTATGTAAGGCAAATACTACTAAATAAAAAAAGGAGCAATAGCTTCCTTCTTGTTTTATCAAGAGGCGTTATTTCTCCTTTTTTAGTTCAAAAACTCCTATACAATTACAATAAGACCAAAGTCTTATCCATTTGTAGATGGAACTTCGATAGCAGCTAAGTCTAAAGGGAAATTATGAGCATTATGCCCATGCATAACTTCCATACCAAGGTTAGCACGGTTGATGATATGAGTCCAAGTATTTATTACACGACCTTGACTATCAACTACCGATTGGTTCAAATTGAAACAATTTAGGTTGAAAGCCATAGTGGGGATACCTAAAGTAGTGAACCAGATACCTACTACAGGCCAATCAGTCAGGAAGAAATGTAAAGAACGAGAGTTGTTGAAACTAGCATATGGGAACATCAATCGGCCAAAATAACCATGAGCGGCTACGATATTATAAGTTTCTTCTTCTTGACCGAATCTGTAACCTTCATTAGCAAATTCATTTTCTGTGGTTTCCCTGATCAAACTAGAGGTTACCAAAGAACCATGCACATAACTAAATAGGGAGCCGCCGAATACCCCAGCTACACCTAGCATGTGAAATGGGTACATAAGGATGTTGTGCTCAGCCTGGAATACAATCATGAAGTTGAAAGTACCATAAATTCCTAAAGGCATAACATCAGAAAAGCTTCCTTGTCCAATTGCTTAGATCAAGAAAATAGCAGTCGCAGCTGCAACAAGAGCTAAATATGCAACAGCAATCCAAGGTCGCATACCCAGACGGAAATTAAGCTCCCACTCATGACCCATGTAACATGCTACACCAAGTAAGAAGTGTAGAACAATTAGTTCATAAGGACCACCATTGTATAACCATTCATCAACGGATGCTGCTTCCCATATTGGGCAAAAATGCAAACCTATAGCTGCAGAAGTAGGAATAATGGCACCTGAAATAATATTGTTTCCATAAAGTAGAGATCCAGAATCAGGTTCACGAATACCATCAATATCCACTGGAGGAGCAACAATGAAGGCAATAATAAATACAGAAGTTGCGGTCAATAAGGTAGGGATCATCAAAACACCAAACCATCCAATGTAAAGACGGTTTTTGGTGTTTGTTATCCAGTTACAGAAGCGACCCCATAGGCTTTCGCTTTCGCGTCTCTCTAAACTGCGGTCATGGTAAAATCTTGGTTTATTTAATTATCAGGGACTCCCAAGCGCACGAATTTTCAAATGGAAAATTAAAGGCTGGTTATTTAACAGTATAACATGACTTATATGCCTGTGTCAACCAATATCTATCTGGATCTAGTTTAATTTTTTGTAAATCAAAAGTGGTTTGCAAAAATTTAATAAAAAAGGATTTCTATACACTATGCATATAATATAATTTCACTATGACAATGGGTTGCCCGGGATTTGAACCCGGAACTAGTCAGATGGAGTAGATAATTTCCTTGTTAAAGTTAAATAAGTAAAAATCCCTCCCCAAGTCGTGCTTGCATTTTTCATAGCACATGGCTTTCCCTCTTTATACATCTAAAACTCAGTTCCTTCATTAGACAAGAAAAGATTGAATACTCATTTGATTTCATCCTTA